CACACACACACACACACACACACACACACACACACACACACACACAACCCAGACAATCAGGAAGTTTGTCTGAAGGTGATATCAGTCTTCTCCCAGGAGATTTCAGGAAATAACAACTAAAACCAGTGGAAAATTTCAGTGTGGCAGAGGTCACATGCAGTGAAGTTGAAACTAATCCCTCTGCCCTACATCCTGTTAAAAGCCACTGAAGCAGCTATGAAAGACAGAGGAACATGAGACGCAAAATCACCTTGGGGACCTGGAAATTTACACACAGAAATAGCTTCATTCAGTAATCTTTATTTTCAAAAGGCAATCACTACATTTAATGTAATGGTTGCATGTGAGATACTATAAGCAGAGTCTAAGTACAGAGCATATGCAGCTTGTGCATTTTCACACAAGCAGTTAAAAAAACAAAACAAAAACAAATGCCACGTAAGCGTCATCCTCTGGAGCATGTGGTGGTTTACAATCGACACCATATACATCATATTATAGCTTTGCATTATAGCATGCCTTTTTTGTTCCATGTCTCGCTTTTCTCTTTAAGCTTTGAAATTTTTATGTATCTTGGGAGGATTTTTAAGACACATGTAGTCCTTGCGTTTGTTGCATTCACACGTAGAGCTTTACTTAGTACTGTGAATGGTAGAATCAGACTGAGAGACTGCATATGTAAATAGTGAATATATTAACATGAGGCTGTGGATTGTATTTCACATACACTCCAAACATAATGTGAGCATCATAATATCACTGTAATACGGCGAGTGGCACAGTTTACTTTTTTATGCATTTGATGCTATTTCCCTCAATGATACACAGCAAGTGTGGAAATGTAGTGTGCTTTGTGAGAATTATATTGAACGCTTTAAGCAGTCACCACCATAACTGAAAGCTGCAGCCAAAGCACAAATGCCATAAGATTGCAGTACTTGTGATGGCCACTAGATGCTGGCTGCAAAAACACAAACAAAAAACTGGGACTACAGAGAGTTCCATATGGTGTCCAAACTTGCCCCAAGAAGTACAACTCTTTTCATACTAGGCTTGATTCCCAGTACTTATTTTCCTTCTTCTGTGTGTCTTTTGGGTGAGTTTTAGAATACATTTAAGAGGTATTTAAGCTTTTAGAGAAGTCTGTTTTTGAGCTTATAAACTTGATAAACAAGTGTCTCAGCCTGTCAGTAGTCATGGTTGACTGTCCCAACTCATTTTCATTTAGTCGAATTTTCCAGATTGTCGATAAGGGATACGATCAAATAACAACTCCAAAATGTCCCCTCTGGGATTTATGGGTAAGCCATACCTCCATGTTTTCTGACAGTCTGTTGAGTACAACAAAACTTACACTTTGCACTCTCACATGATTGCAGTGTGCTTTATAATCTTAAACCCACCCCCTGCATCATTGGTATTTTTTGTACAGTATGGAACAGACCCTCCTCTTGCATTATGGCTTATCTGTCAGTCTGTTATCATTAATTTTCACACAGCACAGGTAAAGCCATTGATCCTTCGTCCTCACAAAATGTGAATGCAGAACTTTTCAGACAGTTTCAACAACAAACATGAGGACAACAAGCCCTGAGATAGTGTTCAACGAGGTCATGATCTAGATATTATTTTTGGACACTGCACTGAGAAAACAGTTTAGGTTGGGTACCATGCACAGACAACATATGACATGTTCTGAATCATTTTCATTCCCATTTAAAAGTACATTTTAAGAATTTAGTTGAGACAAGGCAACATGAAAAACACCACGACAACAAATATATAGTGAAAGTGTTACATTTAAATCAAGCTTCACTTGTCTTACTATCCTATTCTATCACAGCAGCTTTTTTTGAGTGATTAATTTTTTCATTCATATTTTTGTGTATATGACTTATGGTGTGATTTATATGGAGTCACAGCACCGAGGTGTAGGTCCTTGTACATGTCAGACCTCGTTAAGATATGTGTAATCATTTCTTAGCAATCCATCCATTAAAAATGACACTTCATATAAGAGTAGCATTTCATGTTACATCCAAGTGTCAACACTCTATCATTCTGATTTATTATTGTGCCACAGCCTGACTCAGAAGCTGATAAAAGAGACTGATATGCAGAGTCAAGGCCAATAACTAACATATTATTCATGAAAAACATGAATCCAACACAAAACAAACAAAAAACAAAAATACCATGGAATGTAACAGTATTTGACTAGCGAGTGTGTGTGTGCATGTGTGTGGATAGGTGAACAGTGTGTTGTTAGTATGTAGAATATATGAATCAAAAAAGGATGTACAGAAGAGAAAGTTCCACTCGTACTGAGAAGGTGTGGGAAAGCACCAGGACCAGGCAACTCGCTGTCCTGATGGTCTGCTTTCGCCATCTAGTGCAGTATAGAGTTGGATCATATAGACAAAAGATAGACAGGCAAGCCGACTGTCACATATGGTAATACTTTTGTTCAGTTTGGATACTCTGCCATACCAGCAGATTCCCTCCTTGGATTTCCTCCAAAGCAGCTTCGCTTTTCTTAATGAGCAGCCTGACCCCGCAGGAAGGTACTGATCAGCTCATTGATAAGTTTGGTTCCTTTTTGTAGGCACAAAGTCTACACTAGCTCAAGTAATGGAAACACAATCTATCCATATACCCTTCTGTATTTTTAGTACTACCTCAGTAACAAGTGGTATGTGGATCCTGAGAGTATAACCAGTAGCTACATGTTGGATGTTGGGTGAAGTACAAAACACACTGGAAGCAAAGCAAATACAAACAAGTACACACATTTCAAAAGTACCATCTGCCTTTCATGTAAATACAGGGAAAAATCCATCCACATATGTGAATGTTCCAATGTTTCAAAGTAGATATGAACAAGCATACAGTTCTTTTTATCACACATTGTCTTCATGGGTGGACATATTTATGTTTGTATGGTTATGTGAACATTTTGAGATGTAGGTGGTCACAACAGATTCTCATGGCTGTGCAGATATAAAAATGATACTTTAGGCTTTCATTACTAACCGCTGTCACACTTTTAGATGTATCATTTAATGTAAATGTAAATCAGTGATCTGTTTTTTGTTTGTTTGTTTTTTTGTGAATTTAGGATATGAGCATTATGTATAGAAGACACAGAACTAACCCAAAACTTGTCACACAGATGTTTTCGTTGCTGCTGGTTGATGTATGCTCATGTTAGAATGCAACTGATGTACTGTATTGCAACATGAAACTAGAGATATTCAGTGAACACTATGCTTCCAATGAGAGATTCCTACTGGAATCTTAAATCCCTCAAAAATATACATGTGGATTTTATTTTAACAATTACTACTGTATAGTTGAGTATAGTAACAAAATAACTGAGAGAAATAATGGCCATACCTGTAAAATAATAATAATAAAAAAACTTTGTTATGCTATAAACACTTATTCGCTCACACTTTTTACTTCAATGTGACTATTATTTGGCATAGCACAATTGCAGAAACCCTACCAGTTCTTGCATTTAAACAACACAATATGTGCCTATCAGATCCATAGGGCACAGTGTATATGTGAACATTACAGTATAGACCAAGGGGACAGATGATGTCCCTGCTTAAGCACACACAGGAGTAAGGGAGATCAAAGGCACTAATGGTATTTAAAACGTTCTGTTAAATGAGTACACACAATCTATGGGCCCATCTGAATATGCAACTCTTTTGTGTCAAGTGTTTTCTCACTCTCATTTTCTTTGGTCTGCTCTTGAATAAACCCATTCTGTGGCTTGCAAGCTTCCACAAACAGTGGAAAATCAGACAAGCTGGTGTTGTATTCTTTGTCTTCATTCTCATCCATTTCTTCATCCTTCCTTTTTCCTTCATTTGTAGTAGGTGTGCTACAGTCAAAAGTAGGTGTGCTGCAGCCATAGGCCTCACTGTGAGGACGGCGCGCCTCATCTGGTATGTTCTTCTTCAGGTCCCGATTCCTGTTGCGCTTGGCCAGCTTTGTGACGGAGCCCAAGCGGTTGAAAATGTTGTCTTCAGATGTGGTCTGGTGGTTGGGGCGCTGGTCACACTGCTCTGCCCCACGCAGTCGAAGGTTGTTGAGCTTGGTGTCGATACTCTCTTGGGAAGTTGTCCTGTAGTTGTTTGTGTCCAGGCTGTTAAAGATAGCGCGGCGCTCTGGCGAAAGCATGTCTAGGGACACAGCGCGCTGGTCCAGGCCCAGTTGCCGTCTCTCCATGCTCCGGATGGTGGCAGCTCGCTGCAGCTTGTCGTGAACCTCAACACTCATACGCCGACGTGTCTCCCGGAACTCTGCTCGCACATTTGCTTTCCACTCTGCTGCGTGAGCCTTGATCTCTCCAACCTTGGCAAAGACAACAAGTAATTAGCATTAAATATTATTGTATGTGCACTACTGTATGTAAAAAAGTAATGTTGCAGCACAGTGACAGTGAAAGTTATTTTTAAGATAAAAAGAGTAATGCATGAAACTAGTAATGCATGGAAATTTAGCAGCACAAGCTTCATTAACTTTGACAAAACTCACCCTGGGTCTGTTACACATTATATCAGTAGACCTCATCCAAAGCGTCATAAGATGAGTAAAGGATCAGAGAATAAACTATATGTCTGCAATACTGAAAAATTTAGATTTTTCTGAGTTTCCTTGTCTTTCCTTTTTTTTGGGGGGGGGGGGGTAATTATCAAACAGTTTTACCTTCTCATTCCTTTAGAAATTATTATATTAAATCAGCCTGAGAAATGAAGAATGTCTTTTATTGTCTTTTGAGGCTTACTCTAAAATAGTTGTTTACCATGTATGAGTTTAGCAGTTCAATCTTTTGAAAGAACAGACTGATTGCTGTAATCATTTATCATACATATCCATTTGTATTCAAGACAAGCTATCCACATACAAATCAGGTCACATGTTAATACAAGCCAAAGACTGGATCTTAATCTCTTAAAGTATTCCCAGAATAATCCACCATATCAAAAACTAATTTTGAACTGTGATGTTTGATGACTTGTAATAGAATGATGATGGCTGATATTAAGATGCAAATTTATTGATCAATTCACAAACTGCTGTCAGAGTGCCTTTGTCACAAGGGGGTGGGCTTGGTCTGCAGCAATGCTTTGATGGGTGCTTAAGAAGTAAACATTGACATGCTAGAATGCAGAACAATATTCACTTCACCTGTCACTGTCATTAGTGTTCTGGTGGATCAGTGTTTGTACTGACAATCAGCATTGATTATTAGAGCATACCTCTTCTTTTGTCTTTTTGGACAGCACCCTCAGCCAGTCACCAATCATGTTTAGCACTGCAGCAAAGTAGGCCAGACCACCAAGGATCCAGAACCATACTAGTGGTCTGTACCACTTCCGGTACTCAATCCTCCGGTCTCCACCTGATCAGAAATCAAAACATTAATAAACATGGACTTTTCATTTTGCAGCCAGCAGCATGCACTTCCGTTTGAACCTTTTAGGGAATAAAGCTGAGACAGTGAAAATTTGTTTTGTTCTGTGTCATAGTCAGCCACGAATTTGATAGGTGGAGACACTACCAACATACACCAGTTCTTGACCGACATTGCAGGATTCTGCTTTAATAAAGCAATAAACTAATTTTCACATTAGGTGAATGTCAGAATACCTCAGTGAGGCCTTCATCCTTCACACATAACTCTGTCCTCCATGAAAGACATAATTAAAACTGGAAGTGAGTAAAATCAGGCCTGAGTGGAGCTGTTGTCTCCTACCTCCACCAGAACCTGATCAGGGTCATAGAGTGCCGACTGTCAGGAAAACCACAATTCCAGAGAAAAGAAGATTCTTCATGGTGATCTCCTGACCTTTATCTCCCCCTAACACACACAACTTTCTATACAACAATTGACTGATTAGTTTAAATCCCAAAATGGGGAAGGAAATCAAACATCACTGAGTGACGATCCCAAATCTGGAACTAGTCTATGATACCAGGTCATCAAGACCAGTATTGAAGAAGATCAACTCACATCATAAGTGTTTGTGGGGAAGCACACAAATGTGACACAAACACCCCCTTCTCTCTGCCACAAAGAACACAGAGAGACTTTTATCCTAAGCATTTATAATTCTAAAGTTCTACTTTTTTTTAAAACTATTGAATGTGTTGTGTGTTCTTCGTTTATTAGAAGTTTACTTTCATACAGCCAGAAATTCTATAAATGTTTTTTGCAAGTTTACATTATTATTATCTCAGAAATCATATAAGATAAACATATCATGTTTGAAGTCATTTTAATCACGTTTAATGGAATGTTAGACCTGTGATCATCATAGATGTTGAACAATTAGATTTGTACGTTTAAGAAATGTACAAAAAGTCAATTTCAAAGGTATTTGGCCTCTGATCTCGTCTGGACAGTAAAACTCAATACCACCCCTTGGGAGAAACACATCCACCGGCCCCCCACTGGCCACTGGCCACTGGCCCCCTACTCTGAGCTTCTATCTGAATTCTCAGAGTTCTTAGCTGACTTAGTGCTTAGTACAGATAAAGTCATTGTAGTGGGTGACTTTAATATCCATGTAGATGATGAGAACGACAGCCTCAACTCTGCATTTAGTTCATTGTTAGACTCAGTTGGCTTCTCTCAAAATGTAAATAAACCAACTCATAGTTTTAACCATACCCTTGATCTTGTTTTGACATATGGCATAGAAATTGAACAGTTTTACTGTTTTTAAACAAAACTCTATCCTGTCTGATCATTTTTTAATAACATTTTGAATTTACAATATTACTTCAATGCCATATGCCAACACAACAGAGAGCAGTCCCTCTAATCTTAGTCCCACACAGGTGGATAATCGTGTTGATAGAACTGCAGCTTTACTACGTTCATCAATTGATGCTGTTGCCCCATTGAAACAAAAGGCAATAAATTATAAGAAAATAGCGCCATGGAATAGTCAACATCAGCACATCGTAAAACAGAAATTAAGAAGGCTGGAAAGACAGTGGCGCTCTACCAATACAGAAGAATTTCATCTAGCCTGGAGAGATAGTTTCCTCGTCTATAAAAAAGCGATCTGCAAGATGAGAACTGCCTACTGTTCATCCCTAATTGAGGAAAACAAGAACAACCCCAGGTTTCTTTTCAGCGGTGTAGCCAGGCTGACAAAGAGTCACAGCTCTGTGGAGCCTTGTGTTCCTTTAGCCCTCAGCAGTTAAGAATTTATGACCTTCTTCACTGATAAAGTTTTGAATATTAGACAAAAAATTATAAGCATGTCTGTAGGTGCAGCAGCTCTGGATGCATCCATAGGACCAGATTTATACTTAGACTGCTTCTCTGCTGTAAATCTCTCAGCGCTCACATCTATAGTAAATTCTTCTGAACCAGCAACATGTCTGTTAGACCCAATCCCAACTCGACTGTTCATATTGGAATCTTAATTCTTACTCTAATACTGCATTAAATATCATCAGCTTCTTTATATTAACAGGCTACATACCACAGGCTTTTAAAGTAGCTATAATAAAACCACTACTCAAAAGGCCTGCTCTCGATCAAGGTATTTTAGCTAACTATAGGCCCATATCCAACCTCTCTTTTATTTCTAAATTCTTGAAAAAGTTGTTGCAAGCCAATTGTGTGAGTATCTGCTTAGAAATGGTTTGTCTGAAGAGTTTCAATCAGGTTTTAGATTGCATCATAGTACAGAGACAGCACTGGTTAAGGTAACAAATGATCTTCTTATAGCTTCAGACAGTGGACTAGTTTCTATACTTGTTCTACTGGATCTCAGTGCTGCATTTGATACAGTGGATCACAGCATCTTATTACAGAGACTGGAATGTTTAATTGGGCTTAAAGGAATTGCACTAAATTGGTTTACATCATATTTATCAGACAGATTCCAATTCGTCCATGTTAATGATGATTCTTCCACCCTCAGAAGAATTAGTTATGGAGTTCCACAGGGCTCTGTGTTAGGACCTATATTAGTTACCTTGTACATACTCTCTTTAGGCAATATTATTACGAAGCATTGCATAAATTTCCACACTTATGCAGACGACACCCAGCTATATTTATCCATGAAGCCAAATGAAACCAATCAGTTGGTCAGACTCTAGGCATGCCTGAAGGACATAAAGGCCTGGATGACCTGCAGTTTCCTTCATTTAAATTCAGACAAAACTGAGGTTATTGTATTTGGCCCTAAACACCTCAAAAACAAAATATTGAACCAGATAGGTACTCTAGATGGCATGACCTTGGCCTCTAGTTCTACTGTCAAGAACCTTGGAGTTATTTTTGACCAGGACATGTCATTCAATAGCCATATAAAGCAAGTTTGTAGGACAGCCTTTTTTCATTCACGTAATATTGCAAAAATCTGGAACATTCTGTCTCAGAGTGATGCTGAGAAACTAGTCCATGAATTTTTAACTTCTAGACTGGACTATTGTAATTCCTTATTATCAGGATGTCCTAATACGTCTCTCAAAAACCTTCAGCTGATCCAAAAGGCTGCAGCCAGGGTTCTGACAGCAACCAGTAAGAGAGATCATATTTCTCCTGTATTAGCTTCTCTTCATTGGCTTCCTGTAAAATCAAGGATAGAGTTTAAAATCCTGCTTTTAACATATAAAACTCTCAATGACCAAGCTCTATTTTACCTTAAAAACCTTATTGTACCATATCATCCTAACAGAGCCCTTCGCTCTCAAACTGCAGGTCTACTTGTGGTTCCTAGAGTTTCCAGAAGTGGAATGGGAAGTAGAGCCGTCAGTTATCAGGTTCCTCTGTTGTGGAATCAGCTCCCAGTTTGGGTTTGGGAGGCAGACACCCCCTCTACTTTTAAGGTTATGCTTAAAACGTTCCTCTTTGATAAAACTTATAGTTAGGGCTGCCCAGGATCACCTGAACCTTAGTTATGCTGCTATAGCTCTAGACTGCCAGAGGATTCTATTGATGTCCTGTGCTCCCTGCGGACGTCTCTGGATCCGGAGCTTCATGTCCCTGACCTCCAGCCGCTGGCTTAACTGACCCCCCAAATATTTTATTGTTCTGTTCTACTGCTGCTCACCCCATTACATGTTATAATTCAATAATATATAATCTAACTATTACTGACAAAGGTCTCTCAGATGGCCTATTTAAAATATTTGAGTGATTCCCCTGATAAACAAGATCTGCTAAATATTCTTATTTTTGGTTCAGCCATATGAGGTTATTATGCTCCATAAAGAAATGCCAGCAAGCCACTTTCCGACGCCGGATGTTAAACCAACCTCAGTTCTTGCTTCTTGCTTCGTTGCTTGGATTCATTACTAAGCTGTGTTTTCTTCGTCTCAGTTCTGCTGCTTCCCGCCATCCGAAGAATCCGTCCCACTCCGACTCACCTGCTGTCATCACCTGGCTCCTTCCAACAGCAAGACCCCCACTAAGTTTTGGTTTCACCTGCCTGGAAAATCCACCATTCCTCCAGAAGACTCATGTGCCTCGCCATCCTCCACCTGCCTCCCCATTCCCCATTCATTCTGTTCATAAACTGGTCACTTCATGATGATTCTGATCTGGAGCCTATCTCAGCTGACTTAGGGTGAAGGCAGGGGACACCCTGGACAGGTCACCAGTCTATCACAGGGCTACACTTAGAGACAGACAACCAAGCACACTCACATTCACACCAATGGACAATTTAGAATCACCAATTTACCTCAACATGTTTTTGGACTGTGGGAGGAAGCCGGAGAACCTTGAGAGAACCCATGCTGCATGGGGAGAACATGCAAACTCCACACAGAAAGATCCCACATGTTCTCACCGGGACGCGAACCGGCGAGGCAATGATGCGAACCACAGCGCAACCTTGCAGCGCTATCAATCCATCCACCCATTATCTATCCATCCATCCATCCATTATCTATACACCGCTTAATCCTCATTAGGCTTGCAGGGGGGCTGGAGCCTATCTCAGCTGACTTAGGGTGAAGGCAGGGGACACCAGTCTATCGCAGGGCTTGTGAATAGCTCGGTAATCAAAATCTATACAATGTAGGGACCAAAGTGTGAACAATAAAAAGTATAGACAACAGGACTTACATAAAAAAAAAAAAAAAATTAATTAACTAATGAAAAGATCACAACTACTAACTACAACACAATAGTGACACACACCAAGACAAACAACCATACAAAACAACATTACGATTAACATTGTGTTCTGAGATAAAGGGGTGAATAGATCACACCTAAGGGCTGCCGCTAATTTAGTGGTAGGCTAATTTTGAATTCTGAAGAATTTCAATTTCCCAAGAAAGAGAATTTAGAAAGTTGCAGCAAGTTCTCAGTGACTAAAACTTAGTTGTGTGCATATTGCTGTGATGCAGTGGTGATTTTGCTGA